CCTGCGCAGCGCTTCTGCTCCCGCCCCCTGCCCGCCAGCGCCTCCCCGCTCTGCTGGCCGTTCCCGCTCCGCCATTATCTCGTGTTTCCTCATGATTACCGTCCTGTCAGCCCCCTTTGATTCTCTGTCCCTGGCTCTTGGACTCTGCGTAATCCAGTCAGCTCTGTAACCTTGTTACCCCCGTTCCCGCGCACGGCTGCTTTTTCCACATTCTCTCAGGCTGTCCCTGACCACTCTCTTGAAGCCGCTCCTTAGTTCTCTCTTTTCTGGTCATCACAGCCTGGCCATTAGCAGGCAAGGCATTGAAAGTGTAGGCTCCACAGCAGATCCAGACATTGAAAGAGTCAATCTCAGTGCAGTTTGTACTTGATGACTTCATTTTTGGGCCACATCATGCTTGGAGAGCTCAACTTTGAAAGTAACCTATTTTAGTGTCTGCAAATAGATCTTTAGGTGTCAGTTTTGTACGGATTTCTCTAGAAAAGGCAAAAAGCACATCCCTGATTTCCCTTCAAGATGTGAATCTGTGTTTCAAAGCATGAAGAGAGCTGTTCAACTAAACCTGTCTTGCTATTATCTTGCTATTGTTTTTTGCTATTTTTAAAACAAAAACAGGAGAGCAAAGCAATGCATTTTCCACTAGTTCTATTCTGAAAAATGCCTGCATGGCTTTTATTTTGTAGAAAGGTTTTCCTTTAATAATTTTTTTAAATCCTGCTGAGTCAGGTGCTTAACTGAAAAATCTTCATTCAAATAATTAAATTTTACATGTTCAAAAGGAGTTGAAAACTATGTCTACATCAGCAAATGTTGGACAGCATTAAATACAGTCACTGTTCCCCATGCAGTCTTTAAATATACATTTCAACTCAAATGTCACCATAATTGTAGACCTTCTAGTTTATATTTGTCAGAAACTGGATGGATCAGAACTTTTTCCTTTTATTTGGAATATTCATGGTTTTTAAAGCTTTCCTAGTAAAATATAACATAGTCCTCACATCATTAGAGATTAATGATATATATCCAGACTTGAGTGAAACATAGTAGGTTTATATTTTGATTGTAAACTATTAACTAATTGATGTGTTATTGTATAATAGGAATTTCAAGTCATTTTCAACAATGTAAGTTCTTTCATTATTCCTATGTATCAGCAAAACACTTTCTTCATCCTTAGGAATATAAAGAGTAAGCCTGTGCCTTCACCAACAAAGCATTCAAATCCTGTTTACTTCAGATGCATTCACTCATGATCTCTTAAGTTAAACACAGGTTTAACTGTTTGACTCAAGTGAAGATATTTTTGTGGGTTTAGGTAGAGCAATGATACATTCATGACTTTTAGGATTGGATTCAGCAGCATCTGTTGTATGCATATCTATGCTTGTGTGCAAAAAAAATAAAGTCCTGGAAGGGTTGTTTTTCATTTTTTCCCCTTTTTTTCCTAATGCAGCTCATTTATGTTGTGTCAGAGACTCCTCCTTGCTTTGCTGAAACAAGCTCCTTTCCTGTTCTTTCATTCCTAAGGTTTTAAAAATGCAGCTCCAAGACATTAACACATTTAAGAGTCTACATGGATTATAAAATCAGTAATGGCTAATCTATTAGCCTCTAGCCACACTTCTCCTATCTCTGTTTCCTACCTCGCTCTAGGGAATTTTCTGTACTTTCCACTGCCAACATCCTGAACAAACCTTTCTAAATAAGAGAAAGAAACGTATATAAGCTTGTGCAGTAGAACAGACATACGATCTGTTCTCTAAAAAATAACAGCTAGTGCTTTGTTTTGGAGGATAGCTACATGCCATGCCTCTAGTACTGCACAGCATATCTTCAGTTACCTGTCAGAGACAGCTTAAAATCTGCTTCTGGGAAACAGATACTGTTGCTGAATTTAGGACTGCACCTGGAGGTAGCTGTAAAAAGGCTTGGGTTTAAAATAGCCTCCACTGGCTTGCTCCCTGGTTCCATCTGAATTCCTTACCTGAGGGCTTTCTCTGGGGAGCTGCAGCAGGCCATTCATTTTCACAAGCAGACTGTTTTTCATACACAGTGTTAACAGTATTTGTCTCAAGCTGCAAACCACATTTTATCTGATTATTTTGTGAGTTTGTGTGTTGTCATTTTTTGTGGTCTGTAGTTTCTTCATACAGCAGTGAATCTGAAAGTATGTTATATTCCGTGTTTCACCTTCTAACCACCTGCTCATAGTGAATGTCCAACTGGAAGTCAGCAAGATAAGGAGACAGCAACAGTTAAAATTCCTGATTTATTATTTTATTATGTTTACCTTTAAATGACATTGACAAAAAGATGATATTGTACGACAAAAGTATGTAATGTAAATAACTAGGAACTAGCATGAGATATAGTCACATGTTTTTAAGAGCCAAGTTTTTTTGTTGATTTAGGCTGCAGTAGGTGGAATGCAGAAGGTGAAACATATCAGCATCCTCTTCTGGTTGAATCAGCAGCCTGTTAAGCAAGAAATGAGCAATTGAATCACAGTGTTTCCAACAATAGGCTGTGGGAAATCCTTTGTCTGTGGAAACTCCCTGTGCCACTGGATTTTTTTGTACCTGTGTAATGACTGGACTCCTACTGCTGCTTCTTTTTTCATTTTTAATGGGTATTTTTAAAATAAATTAGACAATATTCGGGTCCTTTCCATGCAAAGTCCAGACAGCACTCTTATTTTTAGTGTGACAACAGCAAAAGACTGATGGAGCTGGAGTATCTCTTGCAGACTTCTTTATACTCTTGAAGTGGACCCAAGTGATTGGGACCCGGGCTGACTTAGCCAGTTCAAGTGTCCCCTACTCTGGGAGAGTTCTCAAGTGGCCAGTGCCAGCATATTGTGCCTGCTTGCTCTTTCCCACTCTGCTCTCTTGATTAGCAGGGATGTTGGCGGTGGACACTAATCACTATTTCAGCTTTTCAAGCATTTGGCTTGCTTGGGACTGTAAAAGCTGGGGTAAGTTTTCTGAAGTCCTCAGACTTCTCTAAATAAAATGAATCACAATGTATTGTAGGTCTATCTAGAGAACAAGGAAGACATAAATAGCTTTCTAATGTTGCATTATTCCCACCTCTCTTTTCTTCTCCTTCACGGAAAGAGAACCTGGGCTATTTTGTTTCTTTTGCAGGTGAGAGTGAAGTGTTGAATGTGATAGTGGCATCTCTGGCAAAGATTGCTTAGTACTTCCTCTTGTAAATTACTGCTTTGCCAAACATCAGTCTGTCCTGCATGAATTGTGTCTGCCTTTTGCTAAGCCTGAGCACTGTGAGGGAGGATAAAATCTAAACCTGAATGAGGTGGAAGAAAAACATAGGAGATGTGTTTAAGAAAAATTTTAAGAGCCATGTTAAGGAAGGACTGAGAGTGGGAAGAGGCAGACGGAGACATAAAGGACATGGGTTTGGGAAGTCATGAGGTCATATAGACAGATGGGGAAGAGACTGGTTGAAAGAGTGCTAGGAAGGAAGTGGTGTTGAGCTGGAAGAAAAAGGTGGAAATATTAGAAGTTGCGTTGGTGCTTGGGTTTTATCCCTACTTCTACAGCTTTCCCATGTTGTTCTAGGTGAGTAATTTCTAGCACCATGTCAGTGGCTACTTACATCTTTGTTTTCTGATTGTCCTGCATGGAAACTGATTTGAGCAATTATAACTGTAAACTAGATCAAAGATAATTATTGTTTGAACACAGGAAGTGAAATTAAACATGTTCTTTGTTGGGTTTTATCTGTAAAACTACATACAACTGATGTAGGTGTGTCTTGTATAAGGGTTGAAGTCTGGATGCGTTGGTCATTCATGCCTGTGTGACTTCACACCTTGTCAGGTGTTCAGTCTTCCTTTGGCAAAGATGAAGAGTGCGCCATGTTCCTTATACAAGAGTGGTTTTGTCTCTACAGAATATACAGAAACTACTCCTACATTTGTTTTGTATTTTTGATAATAGTTCCCTTTAGCCTGGTAAGTTCATTGGGCAGGGGGTAGGAGCGGGTGTTTATTCACTTTGTCAGTAATTCAGAGCAGATTACTTAGTATTGGGGTCTGT